TTGGACAAGCACAAACCCGTGTAGACTGGGTCAAATTGGCCTATACCTGTCTGGGCTGGTTCGAACCCCCTTGGACCTGTTCAAACTGGCTTGGGCCGAATCAAACAGACCTAGACCGGCTGAAACCAGCGACATAGACCTGTTCCAACTGGCCTTGACCTGTTCTAACCAGCTTGGGCCGGTTTCAAATGACCTGGACCTGCTTCAACTGGCCTGGACCTGCTCCAACCTGTCTGGGCTGGTACCAACCCACTTGGACCTGTTCAAACTGGCTTGGGCTGGTTCAAACTGGCCTAGACTGGGACTTCCAGGTTAGCGCCTCCGGCAATGGCAGAATTCCTCTGATCGGGAGGAATCCGCTCCGTGGAAATCAGGGTCTGGCCGCCACGGCGAAGGCGGAGACCCACTAAAAACCACAGGCGGGAGAAGCTTGTGGACGTGGGATTCGGCTGGCACCTTTTGCGCCTCCCCTACTCGCGGGGAAACCCGGTTTCGGGGATCCGGAGCGACGTGGGGTGAGTGGCACGGTGCTTCGAAGTGACTGCTTCTTTCACGGAGTGAAGCCACATTGCTGTTGCCAGAGAGCGCTGACTTTTTCCTGTGGACAATTTGATCTTAAAACAACTACCCGTGAGTAGAACGGAAAATTGGATTTCTAAACGTCTTAATTTGGCACCTAAACGGGGAGGTTTCAAACAGGAAGTCCGCCTTCCCCTTTTGTAAATAGATTGAAGCAAAGAGGCAGCAAGCTAAAGCCTTGGAAAGTCTTTCATAAAGGATTAAACTTCCATCGGTTAAATCATCAAACCCCCCTTGGAAGCAGGAGAAGAGGGGGGAAATTTAAGATCGCGTAAGCCTGCAGGAGAGAGTGAAGAAAGTCAAATTACCACCGCTCTGAACCTGGAAACGGGCTGCTAGTAAGATTGAAGTTTTGGATATGCTCATTGACTGTGAATGGATCGTCTGCTGACAGTAAGTTAAAGAAGAGAAATACATTGTTTCCATTGTCTCCTTCTGCGTTTAAAAAGGAGTAAAAGTAATTGAAAATTGAAACTAACTTTATTGTTTGAACTGTGCTTAAAAGGATTGATACAAATAGAAATTGTTTCTCCCTAGAGGAAGCCTTCGAAATTGTTACAAAAGCTGAGCTGGGGGAATTTCCACCTGCAAGATAAAACTGTGAGAATCTGGGATTGACCTTGGACCGTTAAGAATGTTGACAGAAGAAGCCTTAGTGGTTGCATTATGTAAGATTAATGATTCACTGGAACAGCTTCATAAGAAGATGGATGCGAGGACTATAAAAATTGATAACTTGGAACAAAAAGTGACTAATTTGGCACAAAAAGTCAATATTAATACGGAAATTATTCAGGAATCGATACAGGGATCTATTTTGACATGGCAAATTGAGGAGAAGGCGCGGGAGAAAGTTTTTGCTGTGGAACCCAAAGTGGCACAAGTGGAGAGGGAGAGAGCCCCAGTCTTACAGTTGCAATTTGATGATTATAAGTTGATGCCTTTCAAGACTGAATTTAGAGAAAGTCAGACTTTTAGGATTGGAGCCCGCTTGGACTGGAGAAAGAAAGTTGGATAGATCCCCTCATGCAGGGGTTTATTGACCTTTGGGACCTGGACTTGGGTCAGGAGGAGACTGGAGTTGTGGGGACTGCCAGACTTGGAGGAACTTTGAAACACGACTGGAAATATCTTTTGAATTTCAGTTCTAACTATGGAGATTTGGCTGACTTGTCGAGAAGGAATAAAAACATTGCTAGATGGGAATTTCCCGGAGATCTACTTTTCAGCATCAAAGGAAGGAAAATAAGAACAAGATCAGGAGAAGACAAAGTAAAGTGCATGTATAAATATGAAGAAGACTTGCAGAAGCGACCTGGAAAAGAGTTAAGAGCCTCGGACAGAAGATCACCAGGTTGATGGGCTATATGGAATTGACGGAAATGACTGGCAGAACCCGAGACCAGGGAGAAGAGACGGTGGAAGAATATTGGAAAAAGTTTAAAATCTATATATGGAAATAATGTAAAATTAATGAGTGTTAGAAAAATGTTGGAAGGAATTATACGGCTTTAGTAGAAATATTTTAAGGAATTAAGCATAAATAAGTATTATAGTAATAATGGAAAATAAGGTTAAAATATGTTAAGATAATTACATGACAGAAAATAGAGAAAGATGGAAAGGATTTGCTGAAACAATTAATAGAAATGGAATACAAAAAGGGAGGTGAGAGGAGGTCGATGAAACAAGGGAATGAAAGAGAGGATATTGAGATGGTATGATGTGTGTTTTTTGAATTGCTTTTGCTTTTGTTTTGTTTAATGTGTTAATGTTAATGTTGCGTTCTGTATTGTTTATATATTGTATTGTATTGTTTCTCTTCTGCTTTTCTTTTTTCTTTTCTTTTCTTCTCTTTGTAAGGTTTAAAAGCAATAAATATTATTTAAACAAACAAACAAACAAACTGGCCTAGACTGGTTCAAAGCAACTTGAACCGGCACAAACCTGCCTACACTGGTTCAAACTGGCCTAGACCGGTTCAAACTGGCTTGGACCGGTTCCACCTGGTCTGAACCAGTTCCAACTAGCTTGGACTGGTTCAAACCAGCCTAGGTCTGTTCCAAACAGTATCAGCTAGTTTCAACCAGTCTGGGCCAGATCCAACCGGTCTGGGCAAGTTGGAAACTGCCTGGACTTTTTCCAACTTGTTTGGGCTGCTTCCTACCAGCTTGGACCAGTTCCAAATGGAGTAGACTAGTTCCAACCAACTTGGACCTGTTCCAAATGGTATGAACTGGTTCCAACCTGTCTGGGCTGGTTCCAAGAGTAATAGTCCTGTTCCAACTGGCCTGGAAGTCTGAGCCAGTTCCAACCAGTCTGGGTCAGTTCAAACTGGTCTGGGCAAGCTGGAACCGGCCTGGACTTTCCCCAAGCGGCATAGACCTGTTCCAACCGGCCTGGACCTGTTCTAACCTGTCTGGGACGGTTCCAACCCACTTGGACCTGTTCAAACTGGCTCGGGCCAGTTCAAACAGGCCTAGACCTGTTCAAACTGTCCTGGACCGGCACAAAGTGGCCTAGACCGGCTGAAACCAGCCTATAAAGGTAAAGGGAAAAGGTACCCCTGACCATTAGGTCCAGTTCTGACCGACTCTGGGGTTGCGGCGCTCATCTCGCTTTATTGGCCGAGGGAGCCGGCGTACAGCTTCCGGGTCATGTGGCCAGCATGACTAAGCCACTTCTGGCGAACCAGAGCAGCGCACGGAAACGCCATTTACTTTCCTGCTGGAGCGGTACCTGTTTATCTACTTGCACTTTGACGTGCTTTCGAACTGCTAGGTTGGCAGGAGCAGGGACCAGTACTGACCGACTTGGTCCGGTTTCTACCAGTCTGAACCTATTCCAACTGCCTTGGACTGGTTGAAACCGGCCACCACTGGTTCCAAGTGGTATAGACTGGTTCAAACCAGCTTGGACGGGTTCCTACCAGTCTGAACCAGGTCCAACTGGCTTCGACCAGTTCAAACCGGCTTCAACCGGTTCAAACCGGTCTGAACCGGTTCCAACTGGTCTAGACCCGTTCCTACCAGCTTGGACCGGTTTCAACCGGGCTAAACCGGTTCCAAACTGCTTGGACAGGTTCAAACCAGCTCCAACCATTTCCAACCGGTTTGGATCAGATCCAACCGGTCTAGACTGGTTCCAACCAGCTTGGACCGATTCCCACCGGTCTAGACCGGCTGAAACCGGCTTCAACCAGTTCAAACCGGTCAGGACCGGTTCCAACCGGTCTAGACTGGTTCCAACCAGTTTGGACCGGTTCAAACCAGCTTGGATCGGTTCCAACTAGTCTGAACCAGTTGCAATCTGCTTGGACTGGTTCAAACTGGCTTCAACCAGTTCAAACGGGTCTAAACCGGCTCCAACCGGTCTTGACCAATTCCAACCTGCTTGGACAGGTTCAAACTGGCTTCAACCAGTTCCGACCGGTTTGGACCAGTTCCAACCAGCTTGGACCGGTGCCAACCGGTCTAAACCAGCTGAAACCGGCTTCAACCGGTTCAAACCGGTCTAGACTGGTTCCAACCAGCTTGGACCAATTCCAACCGGCGTAGTCCGGCTGAAATTGGCTTCAACCGGTTTAACCTGGTCTGGACGGGTTCCAACCGGTCTAGACCGGTTCCAACCAGCTTGGACTGGTTCAAACTGGCTTCAACTGGTTCAAACCGGTCTGAACCGGTTCCAACCGAACTAGATCCGTTCCAACCAGCTTGGACCTGTTCAGTCCATCTCGACAGGTTCCAAATGGCTTGGACCAGTTCCTACCAGTCTGAACCAGTTCTAACCGGCTTGGACGGGTTCAAACCAGTCTGAACCAGTTCAAACCAGCTGGGACTGGTTCAAACCAGCTATGACAGGTTCCAACCGGCTTGACTGGTTCCAACTGGTCTAGACCGGTTCCCACCAGCTTGGACCGGTTCCAACCGGTCGAGACCAGTTCCAACCTGCTGGGACAGGTTCCAACCAGGTTTAACCGGACCAGACCGGTTTGGACCAGATTCAACCGGTCTAGACCGGTTTCAAACAGCTTGGACCGGTTCAAACCGGCTTCAACCAGTTCAAACTGGTCTATACCGGTTCCAACTGGTCTAGACCGGTTTCAACAAGCTTGGACCGGTTCCAACTGGTCTAGACCGGTTCCAACCAGCTTGGACTGGTTCAAATCGGTTCCAACCGGTTCCAACCGGTCTGAACCGGTTCCAACCAGACTAGACCCCTTCCAACCAGGTTGGACTGGTTCAAACCTGCTTGGACAGGTTCCAACCAGCTTGGACAGGTTCCAACCAGCTTGGACCAGTTCCTACCAGTCTGAACCAGTTCTAACCGGCTTGGACTGGTTCAAACCAGCTTTGAATGGTTCGAACCAATCTGGACCTGTTCCATCCGACTTGGACAAGATTAAACCAGTCTGAACCAGTTCAGACCAGCTGGGACTGGCAAAACCAGTCTGAACCATATCCAACCGGTCTAGAGGGGTTCCAACCATCCTGGACCGGTTCCAACCGGTCTAGACCAGATTCAACCAGTCTTGACTCATTTCCAGCAACTTGGACTGGTTCCAACCGGTCTAGACCGGTTCCAACCAGCTTGGACCGGTTCAAACCGGCTTCAACCGGTTCCAACCGGTCTGAACAGGTTTCAACTGGTTTAGACAGGTTCCAACCAGCTTGGACTGGTTCAAACCGGTCTGGACCAAATTCAACCGGTCTAGACGCGTTCCAAGCAGCTTGGACTGGTTCCAAACGGTCTAGACCGGTTTCAAATGGTCTAGACCGGTTCCAACCAGCTTGGACCGGTTCCATCCGATCTAGACTGGTTCCAACCTGTTTGGACAGGTTCAAACCGGCTTCAATCGGTCCAGACCACTTTGGACCGGATTCAACCACTCTAGACCGGTCCCATCCAGCCTAAACCAGTTCAAACCGGCATAGACCAGTTCAAACCGGCTTGAATCGGCACAAACCAGCCTAGACCGGTTGAAACCGGCTTGGACTGGTTCAAACCAGCTTCAACCAGTTCAAAACGGTCGATACTGGTTCCAACTGATCAAGACAAGTTCCAACCAGCTTGGACCGGTTCAAACCGTTCTGGACTGGTTCCAACCAGCTTGGACCGGTTCAAACCATTCTGGACCGGTTCCAACCAGCTTGGACCGATTCCAACCGGTCTAGACCAGTTCCAACCAGCTTGGACCGGTTCAAACCGGCTTGGACTGGTTCCAACCAGTCTGAACCAGTTGCAACCAGCTTGGACCGGTTCAATCTGGCTCCAAACTGTCTAGACCGGTTCCAACCTGCTTGGACAGGTTCAAAATCAAACGGTTTAAACCATTCTGAACCGGTTCCAACTGGTCCAGGCCGATTCCAACCTGCTTGATTGGTTCAAACTCGTCTAGACCGATTCCCACCAGCTTGGACCGGTTCCAACCAGTCTAGACCAGTTCCAACCTGCTGGGACAGGTTCCAACCGGCTTTAACCGGACCAGACTGGTTTGGACCAGATTCAACCGGTCTAGACCGGTTCCAACCAGCTTGGACTGGTTCAAACCAGCTTGGACCGATTCCAACCGGTCTAGACCAGTTCCAATCAGCTTGGACCGGTTCCAACCAGCTTGGACTGGTTCCAACTGGTTTTGACTGGTTCCAACCAGCTTGGACCGGTTCCAACTGGTCTAGACCCGTTCCAAGCAGCTTGGACCGGTTCCAACCAGTCTAGACCCGTTCCAACTAGCTTGGACCGATTCCAACCTGTCTAGACTGGTTCCAACCTGCTTGGACAGGTTCAAACCGAACTCAAACGGTTCGGTCTGAACCGGTTCCAACTGGTCTAGACCGGTTCCAACCAGCTTGGACCAGTTCAAAACAGCTTGGACCAGTTCAAACCAGCTGGGACCGGTTCAGACCATTCTGGATCTGTTCCATCCGACTTGGACAAGTTCAAACCTGTCTGAACCAGTTCAAACCGGCTGGGACTGGTTCAAACCAGCTACGACAGGTTCCAACCAGCTTGACTGGTTCCAAAAGGTCTAGACCAGATACAACCTGCTGGGACAGGTTCAAACCAGCTTTAACCGGACCACACCGGTTTGGACCAGATTCAACCGGTCCAGACTGGATCCAACCAGCTTGGACCGGATCAAACCAGCTTCAACCGATTCCAGTCGGTCAAGACCGGTTCCAACTAGCTTGGACCGGTTCCAACTGGCTTGGACAGATTCCAGCCAGTCTGAACCAATTCCAACCGGCTTGGACTGGTTTAAACTGGCTTCAATCGGTTCAAACCGGTCTGAACCGGTTCCAACCGGTCTAGACCGGTTCCAACCTGGTTGGACAGGTTCAAACTGGCTTTAACCGGTTTCGACCAGTTTGGACCAGTTCCAACCAGCTTTGACCAGTTCCAACCGGTCTAGACAAGCTGAAACCGGCTTCAACCTGTTCAAACTGGACTGGACCGATACCAAACAGCTTGGACCAGTTCCAATCGGTGTAGTCCAGCTGAAACTGGCTTCAACTGGTTTAAACCGGTCTGGACGGGTTCAAACTGGTCTAGACCGGTTCCAACCAGCTTGGGCCGGTTCAAACCGGTTTCAGCCGGTTCAAACTGGTCTAAACCAGTTCCAACTGCTCTATACCGGTTCCAACCAGCTTGGGCCGCTTAGAACCAGTCTAGACCTGCTTTGACAGGTTCAAACCGGCTTCAAATGGTTCAAACCCCGTTCGATGACCCCGGGGCTTAGAAAATATTTTTTCACAGGTTATGTGTTCGAGGGCTGATTTCTTGGCCTATGACAAAAAGCCTTCTGTTTACACCACCAAACCTTTCAGGGGAGAATTTGCAGCAGTTTGGCACCATTTTTGAGTGAATTGAAGAAATTCAGATTTTTGCTGAAATTGTGACCCCGGGGCTTAGAAATTTCCCCCCCCACAAGTTATGTCTTCGAGGGCTGATTTCTTGGCCTATGATAAAAAGCCTTCTGTTTCCACCACCAAACCTTTCAGGCGAGTATTTGCAGCAGTTTGGCACCATTTTTGAGTGAATTGAAGAAATTCAGTTTTTTTCTGAAATTGTGACCCCGGGGCTTAGAAATTTTTTTTTGACAGGTTATGTCTTCAAGGGCTGATTTCATGTCCTATGATAAAAAGCCTTCTGTTTCCACCGCCAAACCTTACAAGGGAGAATTTTCAACAGTTTGGCACCATTTTTGAGTGAATTGAAGAAATTCAGATTTTTGCTGAAATTGTGACCCCGGGGCTTAGAATTTTTTTTTTCACAGGTTATGTCTTTGAGGGCTGATTTCATGTCATATGATAAAAACCCTTCTGTTTCCACCGCAAGACCTTTCAGGGGAGAATTTGCAACAGTTTGGCACTATTTTTGAGTGTATTGGAGAATTTCAGATTTTTGCTGATATTGTGACCCCGGGGGCTAAGAAAATTTTTTCCCCACAGTTTATGTAGTCAAGGGCTGATTTCTTGGCCTATGATAAAAAGCCTTCTGTTTACACCGCCAAACCTTTCAGGGGAGAATTTGCAACAGTTTGGCACCATTTTTGAGTGAATTGGAGAATTGCAGATTTTTGCTGAAATTGTGACCCCGTGGCTTAGAATTTTTTTCCCCACAGGTTTTGTCTTCGAGGGCTGATTTCATGTCCTATGATAAAAAGCCTTCTGTATCCAACGCCAAACCTTTCAGGGGAGAATTTGCGACAGTTTGGCACCATTTTTGAGTGAATTGGAGAATTTCGAATTTTTGCTGAAATTGTGACCCCGGGGCTTAGAAAATTTTTTTTTTCACAGGTTATGTATTCGAGGCCTGATTTCTTGGCCTATGATAAAAAGCCTTCCGTTTCCACCACCAAACCTTTCAGGGGAAAATTTGCAACAGTTTGGCACCATTTCTGAGTGAATTGGAGAAATTCGGAATTTTTGCTGAAATTGTAAACCCGGGGCTTAGAAAATATTTTTTCACAGGTTATGTCTTCGAGGGCTGATTTCTTGGCCTATGATAAACAGCCTTCTGTTTCCACCGCCAAACCTTTCAGGGGAGAATTTGCAACAGTTTGGCACCATTTTTGAGTGAATTGGAGAATTTCGAATTTTTGCGGAAATTGTGACTCCGGGGCTTAGAAAATATTTTTTCACAGGTTATGTCTTCGAGGGCTGATTTCTTGGCCTATGATAAAAAGCCTTCTGTTTCCACCGCCAAACCTTTCAGGGGAGAATTTGCAACAGTTTGGGACCATATTTGAGTGAATTGGAGAATTTCGGATTTTTGCTGAAATTTTGTCCCCGAGGCTTAGAATTTTTTTCCCCACAGGTTACGTCTTCGAGGGCTGATTTCTTGGCCTATGATAAAAAGCCTTCTGTTTCCACCGCCAAACCTTTCAGGGGAGAATTTGCAACAGTTTGGCACCATTTTTGAGTGAATTGGAGAATTTTGAATTTTTGCGGAAATTGTGACCCCGGGGCTTCGAATTTTTTTTTCACAGGTTATGTATTCGAGGCCTGATTTCATTTCCTATGATAAAAAACCTTCTGTTTCCACCACCAAACCTTACAAGGGAGAATTTGCAACAGTTTGGAACCATTTTTGAGCGAATTGGAGAATTTTGAATTTTTGCTGAAATTGTGACCCCGGGGCTTAGAATTTTTTTCCCCACAGGTTAAGTTGTCGAGTGCTGATTTCATGTCCTATAATAAAAAGCCTTCTGTTTCCACCGCCAAAACTTTCAGGAGAGAATTTGCAACAGTTTGGCATCATTTTTGAGTGAATTGGAGAGCGCCAAATTTTTGCGGAAATTGTGACCGCGCGGCTTAGGGATTTTTTCAAAATAAGTTGTTCAGACGTCGAGAGCTAATTCTGCTTCCGATGAGAAAAACCAATCTGTTTCCACCGAAAAACCTTTCAGGGGATAATTTGCAACAGTTTGGCACCATTTTTGAGTGAATTGCAGAACATCAAAGTTTTGCTGAAATTGTGATCGCGCGGCTTAGGGATTTTTTTTAAAAAAAGTTGTTCAGACGTCGAGGGCTAATTCTGTTTCCGATGATAAAAACCCATCTGTTTCCACCGAAAAACCTTTCAGGGGATCGTTTGCACCTATTTGGCACGATTTTTCAGTGTATTCCAGAACGTCAGATTATTGCTGAAATTGTGACCACGCACGCGGCTTAGGGAATTTTTTTTTTAAAAGATGTTCAGATGTCGAGGGCTAATTCTGTTTCCGATGATAAAAATCCATCTGTTTCCACTGAAAAACGTTTCAGGGGTTCGTTTGCAACAGTTTGGCTTGATTTTTGAGTGAATTGCAGAACGTCAGAGTTTTGCTGAAATTGTGACCGCGCGGCTTAGGGATTTTTTTCAAAATAAGTTGTTCAGAAGTCGAGAGCTAATTCTGCTTCTGATGAGAAAAACCAATCTGTTTCCACAGAAAAACCTGTCAGGGGATCGTTTGCAACAGTTTGGCACCATGTTGGAGTGAATTCCAGAATGTCAAATTTTTGCTGAAATTTTGACCGCGCGGCTTACGGATTTTTTTTCGAAAAAGTTGTTCAAACGTCGAGGGCTAATTCTGTTTCTGATGATAAAAACCCATCTGTTTCCACCGACAAACCTTTCAGGGGTTCGTTTGCAACAGTTTGGCACCATTTTTGAGTGAAATACAGAACATCAAAGTTTTGCTGAAATTGTGACCACGCGGCTTAGTGATTTTTTCAAAAAAATGTCGAGGGCTAATTCTGTTTCCGATGATAAAAATCCATCTGTTTCCACCGAAAAACCTTTCAGGGGATCGTTTGCAACA